TACTTTCTTTTTTGATTTAGCCCTGTTGGTAAGAACACCCACCCACCAAAAATGAAAAAAAAAAAAAAAAACTAAACCCTTTAAATTTAATTTAAAAAAAAAAAAAAAAAAAAGACATACGCGGTCTTGGAGCTCTCTCCGCCGTCATCCATGTCTTTGATCTGCTTATCCTTCTCTTTGAGGGAATCATCCTCGTCAGCTCCAGCATCAGAGGAGGAGAAGGAAGCAGAGGAATTCATGGGAGTCCCTGAAATTTCATTCGAGTAATCCGAGGACAGCTCAAAAGCTCTCGCTAGAGACTCGTACTCATCCAAGCCTGTTTCTGAATCACCCAACCCACCGTATCCAAAAGGGCTCGACAAAAATAGATCTTTGAACATTTCATCTGACATGGAATCAGAAAGAAGAAGAACAAGAAGATCCAAAACGACGACGTATAAGAAGAAGAAGAAGAAGAAGACGAAGAAGAAGCTATGGTGTTGAGGGTTTTGGTCCAGGCTTCAGGGTTAGATCGTCTTCTTGTTATATATACATAAATATAAATATATATAAATAAATTAGGAAACGAAAAGTGTTTAGGTTTGAATTAGACTAGCAATAATAATCATTCTATAAAGACCTTTGACGAATTGGACTCTATTATTAAAAATTAATTAAAATTATACTATTAAGGTCTTGAAAATATATTCATTTTCGAAAGAAAAAAAAAATAATGTTTAGTCAAATTAATTAATTTGAATTAAAGATTATGGCCTGCTAATATACCTTTTCATATGTTGGTTTTTTCGTAAATCCATTCTAATTATGAGATCAATAAATATTCAAATTATTGGACATTAGTAGTTTAAAATTTTAAATTAGGTTAACAAAATTAATTATTACACACAATGTAATTTATATGCATATTATTTTGAGTTTATTATATGCGATTTTTATTAATAATAATAATTTTTCATTTTAGTGAGTAGAGATATAAAAAAGTAAGGTTTGGTGTATGAAGGGCTATTTAATTAAGACTAATTAATTTTTATTACGCCTAAGAAGGGCTATGTAGAGGAGTGGCACTTTAAACTCGACTTAATAACTTCAAAACAAATAAATTTCACTCTTTTTATTTCATTAATATTATTTGGCTCATTTAAAGAAAAACATAGTTGACCTTTTTCTATGTATAATTTAAATATATTTTTCCATATCTTAATAATTTAAGCATGTTTGACAATGATTGAGTATTACTTATTTTTTATTGTTCATTTCAATTAAAACAATATTTACAATATCATTCATAAATAAAAAATTTGTAATAGTATTTTTAGAATAATTTGAAGTTTAAAAATTAAAATAATTTTTGTAATTTAATGTAAAATGATAAAAGGAGAATAAAGGAAAACGAATTAAAGGAGAAAGTTTTGAGTTTGAAAAGGTCAAAGGCACAATTACAGAAGAGGAAGGTAGCGCGTGAATTATACGTCGTAGGAGAGCGAGTGGATTAGGGTGGCATGCGTAATAGTCAGTCACGAGGGGCTTTAAATCGAGTCTTTGGTCAATAATTCAAACTTTTGATTTAGGAAAAAGGAAAAAAAAAAAAAAAAAAAAAACTCGGGGAAAATGGAGTTTGAGAGTTACACGTGCCCCAACTGGCACCGTCATTTGACCGTGGATGAAACTACATGTCGGCAAATTAACTGAGCCTTTTTCCGCTGCCGCTTTCCTTACACACCTCTCCAAAACGACAGAACGTGCCTACTATTTTTATTTCAATAATTTTTTTCAGAATTTAAAACTATATATTTAATTGGTTTAAATTACATTTTGTTCATTTATTATATTTATTTTAAAACAACATTTTATGTATTTAACATTTAAAAAACATATTTTTTAACCTATAAATTTTACCTTTATAACGTCTAATATAATCAATTATATATATATATTTTACATTTTGACCATATATTCTCTATATTCTTAATTCTATACCATTTAAATTTGATGGTAAGAATAAATTATAATTAGTAGGTTGGTATTTGAATTTCAAAATAATACACGTAAAATAATAAAAAAAAGTTTTATTATATGTATATATATATATAGGTATAGTCGACTTTGGATTAAATGTGATTGTAAAGGTTCCGTATGTTTATCCTTTGTCGAGTGGTTCAGATTAATTTTGATGTATGTGTTTATACGTATGAATGTATGGATTTAGATTTGTAATTTAATTTTAATAAAGTAAATAAGAAGAAAATGTTGGGAAACATAATATAGTGGGGGCATCGGACAATGTGTTTGACATTGTGACAAGGCAGCCCACCTAGGTTTGACTTGGTCAGAAAAATACCAATTATATTTGAAAATTCAAAGGTTAAAAAGCTGGTTTGTCTTCGGACCAAACCTAGCTGGCTTTTTGTTACCTTTAATTCATCTTTTTATTTATTTATTTATTTATTTTAATGTTGGATAAAAGTACTTCCAAATTTCAATACATGCTTTTGTATGCAATTGAATGGACTTTTTGGGTTTACTAAACAAATTTCTTCAACACTTTGTTCCTTCTTCAAATTTGTTAAAGGTTAGTGTATTCTTAACTAATTTAAAAAATTCATAAAATTTTTATTTATTAAGATATACGTCATTAAAATATTATTAAAATAAAATTTAATGGGTTAACCTATAATTTTTATTTATTTATTGAGTTTTAATATGTTAGATTCAATTTTTATTATTAAAATATATATATATATATATTTTGGTTATTTGATAAATTCTTGTAGGCATCAAACATTTAAATTTCTAATTTTTTAAACAAAAAGATAATATTAAATGGAATAAACATATTATTTAGTATTTATAAAATAAAAGTAAAATTGATGAATTCAAGACACAAAGGGAGCACATAATTCCATCCACTAGTCAAATGGCTATTTTATTTAATTAATTAATTAATTGGTATTGTTAGTAGTTGAGATATGCACTTTTGACCACTAAAATTGCTGCTGCCTTTTTAATTAATTACAAGAAAAAAGAGTGTTCCATTTTACACTATCAAGAAACGAGGCTTTATTTACTTGCTTTCCAACCCCATTTATCGACAAAACTTTCTCCTTTCGTACACATTCAAACATGTTTTTTTTTTTAACAATTTATATTCTAATTCTTATAACATAAAATTTATGAAATGTCTCGTTAAATTATATAATTTAACGAGTTAAGACATAAAGAAAAGTAATGTAATATATTATTTTAAAAAATTAGGAGTATTAGAAAAATAGTATGGCTTCATGAGTACCTACATCATAATTATTATATTTTTCAAAGCTCGCTCATACAAATGGATTAAATAATTATAAGACTATGACATCATAAAATTGAAAACTCAAAACTCAGAGAAAATGATTATTATTATTATTGGACTGTATTTTTTAGAACATTCAAGAGGGAAGAATGATCCTCTCCAAATTTTCTAAATTAATTATCTAATCAGTCAAATAAATTTTGTTTGATTCGTTCCATTAGAATCAAATTTTACCAACTTGAATAAGATCGAAACGTTTACTTAAGAAAAGATGATTTAACTAATTTAAATAAGCGTGAATATGAGGCAAATTCGCTTGATATTGTTGACATTTTTTTTATAAAAATATTTCAATTTACATCTTTTTTAGTTAAAGTGTTTTCATTAAGAAAAGACACATTTAAAGAAAATTGTATTTGAAGATAAGCCAGATGAGCAAATTATTCCCATTTTTTAAAGTATTTATCTGATAGGATAAATTTAGTCACATTTATCTTAATTAAGATTTTTAAGATAAGTGTGCTTAATTTTTATTCTAGAGACATTTTAATTATTTATATATTTATAATATCTTTATTTATTTGTTTTTAATATATTTGGATTCTAAATCTAGAGTGGAAATATATGCTTTAATTAGTGAACTAAAATATAATTAAGTGGTATTTCGTTAGATTAAATCTCGGCCTTCGTATGCATGACGTAATATTTAAAAAAAAAAAGAAGAGAGAATAAAATATAAAAACAAGGAACCATATCTACTCCACTAAGGAAAATTCAAATGGGCGATTAAATTAAACATAAATTTTCTCTCTAATCCAGTAATGTCGCGATCCAATCCATGTTATTTCAGATGTGAAAGGGTTTTCTAAAAGGAGATTCTCTCAAAAGTCAAAAAAAAAACTTAATATTTACCAATTCAAATAGTTGTGGAACTTATTATCAACTGAACTTTTATATTATTTATTAATCAACTGCAGCATCAAAAAAGGACCTCTTTTTCATAATAATTCACCAAATCCATTAAAAAATATCAGCCAAGTAATTTCAAAAGACTTCCATTATGATTATGAGTTTACTTGGTCTTCTATTTTTCTCCTTTATATATATATAATTATGTGAGGGACATAGGCTTGACTTGGAATGAAGGATGCACGTCAAGTCATCTTAGATTGAATGGCTTCTTTTTTTAGCATATGGTTTTGGAAGGTTTGTGTTGAAATATAACGATATATTTTGAAAGAAGCCTCCGGAGAGGGTATGATCGTGCTAGTTTGTTTCTTTCTCAAGTGTCATTTGTTTGACTAATTTGATAGCGGTCGTTTGGATCTACAAACTAGTGAGAAGATGAGGATTTAATTCTCTAACTTATTGGTTGATGACATATGCTTTTAACTAGTTGAGTTTTGGTTGGAAGGGTTATAAGAAAAAAAAAGAGATTGATTCTTAGTGGTGCTACTAAAAAAGAGAGACTTATCAGACTTGAAAGTTACTATGTGCAACTTCTTTTTTCGGTGGTTCAATCATAGTAATTCGTTAGGTGACTTTTTGAAAAAATTCTTAGGATACATGTGAATGAGGACAAATCATACTGAAAGTACTCGAGTTGGTCTGTGGAGATAGTTTTCGTTCTTAGAAGCAAAGCTCAATTCTAGAAAAAAAAAAAAAAAAAAAAGAGGAAAGGAATGGCTGAGATCAAAAGGCAGAGCTATGGAAACATACAAAGATATAAACCAATAAACAAATTACAGTTCAACAAGTTCAAACGATTATCTTTTAGTTTCTATAGAAGATTCTTCCTAGTTACTATGCTATCAAAACTTTGTACAGAATCATCACATGAATGGAGCAAAACAAATGTTGTAGGAAATTCAAGCTCTCTCTCTCTTTCAATCTTTGATGATCCATAACTCGAATCCTTCCGAATCCAAATGCCGAGGGAATCGTTGTCGGTATCGTGTTTGTATATCAGTGATGACTTTCCAAGAGATCAGCCAGTGTAATCTTCCCACAGTTGCCAGTGTCTAGTCTATCAAAGTTATTAGATATCTGCATCACATCTTTCTCTGATACCTTTCCCATCTCCTTCAGCTTGTATAGCACATACTCTGACCTACTGCAACATGGATGACATAAAATACCCAATGTCAGCTCACCCAGTTTTGTTGTTCTGTTTTATATTACTCGACTTGATTCACAAAATCGATATGTGTACCAATAGGCTACGTGCCAATTGAGGTACCAGCCAAACCTACATGGCTGTGATATTTAAGTTGACAGAAGAACATGGACCGAACCGTATAGGACGGGAAGGAAGGCCTAACATAGATGTTCTCAACAAAGGAACTCAAACTGGTACTAGAAATCTAAATAGAGATTGAATTACATATTGAACAAAAGACATGTTCAAACAAGAATCATGGACAGTTTTGGATTAGCTAAGTTGCAGCGTGTTTCAATCAGAGTAAAACCAGAAGATATAGAAAAGTTGAGGCAAAGATCTTATGCCTAGTTGACTTAAGACATGAAATAAGGTTCCAACAAGTTTAGCAGGAGTGCAGTGTCACAATCTGCAATATGATTGTGACTCGAGTAAGTCATCGAGGACGATGACTAAGTTAAGTGGAGGAGATGGACCGTGACACACAGCATACGACGTCGTAGATGGAAACGTGTGCAGAATCAGGATGAAGAAGAACTCTTTTAGTGTTGATAAGAAAATAGGTTCGTTGTCAGCAAAGAATTCGAGAATTCCCATCTCTCAAAATACCAAATCCAATACTTAATGCCAAAATAAGAACCCGACTTAAGCTAGCATATTCAAGCTTTTAACGATATTCTTATTTGGCCCTGCTTGCATCGATAGCTAACTAATGACCCACCCTCATAACAGAACACATTCTCATAGCACATGCACCCAATTCTCATAGCACATACCTATCAATTCTCTTGAACTTTTGTTCTTTTTCATAATTTTAAAGAGGAGGCATTTCGTGTTAAAGAAAAGAAGTGAGAGACCTGCCAGAAGACCCATGGGGGAGAGATTTCTCAGATGTCTTTTCTCAACTTGTATCAAATGAAGAACTATTTGGTATTCAGAAGCCAGAACCTTTACAGGCTAACAAACCACACACACAGATTTCGTTCAACCGTGAGACTTTTGAACCTACTTACCAAACAGTTAAATCATGTATTAAATCATGGAATCTCACATTGGTTGGAGAGGGGAACGAAACATTCCTTATAGGGGTGTGAAAACCTCAATCTAACATACGTGTAAAAACCTTGAAGGGAAGCCCTTGAAGGGAAAGACCAAAGAGGACAATATCTGCTAGCAGTGGACTTGGGTTGTTTACAAATGATATCAAAGGTAGACACTGGACGGTGTACCAGCGAGGATGTTGGGCCCCCAAGGAGGAGTAAGTTGTGAGATCCCACGTCGGTTGGAGAGGGGAACGAAACATTCCTTAAAGGGGTGTAGAAACCTCTCTCTAACAAACGCGTTTTAAAACCTTGAGGAGGAGCCCTTGAAAGGAAAGTCCAACGAGGACAATTTCTGCTAGCGGTAGTGTGTTTGGACTGTCAGCCCATGTGGCTCTTCAAACACAGCAAAGTGGGTAGGCAATTTCACACAACTTATGCAAAAAATGCTCATGCATGTTCATGAAACAATACAAGTAAGACATCTCAACAATCAGAATCAGTAACATCCAATCCAATTCTCTAGGCTACTTCTCTAAATGAGTTTGAATGAATAATGTTAATACATACCTCACACAGCCATTGTTGTCAGTATCAGCAGCAAGAAACTCAGAGACAGTCATATCCTGACCAAGTATCCACTTTGCCATCATCCTATGCCGCTTATCTACCCTTGCCTCTGCCAAATAAAGAAACGCCCGAGCAACAGCAAGGGTCGATACAAGCAACCAAATCGAAGCAAAAATACGACCAGTCATCGACTTGAACGCCTGATCACCATATCCAACTGTTGTGACAGACATAACTGAAAGATAAAATGAATCCAACCATCCAAGATTTTCAACAAAATGCATTACACCCATGCCAAGTCCTATGCAAAGAATCACAACACCCAAGGCCAGAGCCACTTTCATTCTAATCCTCATTCTTCCCTTCTTCACATCAATTATATAGGATTTCCCGGATTCACGCTGCACCCCTCTCTTTACATTCCTTAACAAATAACTCTCCTGCAAATCAAGCACATAACTGACCATTCCAGAGAGTAATATATCAATAAATCCGAATCCCACCAACACAAACAATACGGAGAACAGCTTCGTCGCAGCACTATTGGGCGTGATATCTCCATACCCAATAGTGCACATAGTTACAATGCAAAAGTACAATGCATCGACCACAGGGTGAGTCTCGTGAGCCGAAAACTTATCACGATTAATCCAATAGATAAGCACGCCCAATGATAAGTAAAGAATTAGAAGAACAACAGCTTGGCGGATAATAGATAGCTTACCAAATTGTGGTTTGGGCTCTTGCGAATGGTTCACATCGTTGATGACGGCCATGGCAGGTGCGGTTTTGGAGCGGTGGAGGTTGCTCTTGTGCCATGAGTAATTGGAATCCACAAGCCATGCCTGTTGAGACGGCGATTGGGATTTTGGGGCCAAAGGTGTAGATGGGTCCTGAAGAGAAGATGAAGCAGAGGGTCTTGACGAGGAAAGGGAGAGCGTCAAGGCGTCGAATATGGGAGAAGTGTCTTGCGGAGACGATGAAGGACCGAAGATCAGGCGGTCTTTGAACTCCGTGGGTGTCATAGGGAGAGTAATTTCATCGTTTTCAGGGAGTGGACATAATAATTGAGGAGGTGGAGGAAGCGGCTTCCCCCTTGGGCTCATATACGGAAGAAGAGGCTCTTTCTCCATTCAGATATGATGCTGGTTAACCTCTGAGGCCACAGTGCAACCAGCAGCGTTGGGTCCAATCGTAGGACAAGAAGAAGAACGCGTCAAAATGAAAACCCAGGAAACGATTTTGGTGAATGAATTTCAAGTCACAAAGACAACGTGGGATAGATAGAGTGAAAGCTCAAATGGGAGTAAACTGTTGGGACCCAGAAACTGAATGCCTCCAAAAGGGTGAAGAACGGGGAAAACCCAGTGGCATAATTACATTACAGAGCTCCGTAGCAGCATACGCACTGCGACGACGGAGGAAGACGAAGGATTAATGAAGAAGCGATTAATGAGGCACGATCTGATGAAGAAAAAGAAACCCAATTCACTCGAGCTTGAGCATTGATCATCCACAGCTGATCAGCCAACCCAACTGGAATCGAATTTCTTTTCCCTTCTCCTTTGCTTTTCTTCCTTCTTTTGTAGATATCTAACAATTTCAGAAATAGCTTCATAAACTGTCAGCCAGAAGCCCCGGAACCACATATATATTCCAGACATTTTTTTTAGAATAATTTTTATTTTTTATTTTTATCAAGTTAAAATTATGAATGTTGTGGATAACTAAATTTATAATTTTAAAAGTGACAAAACTTTTTATAATTTATTGCCAAAAATCTAATTTATTACACTTCATGAAGATAACAAATATTTACATATTTAAAAGTATGTTTTAAGCTATCAAGTAAAATAAAGTGTTTGGTAAATAAATAAATAAAAAAAATCTAAAAAGTGTGTATATATATATATTCTGTATGCAGTTTCAAAATTATCTTACTTTCTGATTCTATTGTATAATTCATTAATTTTTATTATAGAGGCCCTCCTTAATAAAGTAAAATAAATATTTATAAATGTCTCTGTCTAGAATAAAATTTATTGAATAACGTATGAGTTTCAAATAGAATAAAATCGAATAGTGGACAGAAATAAGATGCAAAATATTGATGTCAGCACACATTAAAACCCATTTGGATTTAAAAAAAAAATAAAGAAAAAAAGATGTGATGAATCTATGAATAAATAAATAAGGACAATTATTTATGGTTAGAAAAACACCATAATTAATGGAGTTTCTCTTCCTTCTGAAGATTGTATTCTCAATCAATGAAAAGATTATTATTTTTTCTATCAAAATAAATAAATAAATACAACATTATAAAATAAGCACATAATTACTTTCATTTTTATTGCAAAAAGGATAGGAATACTGAAGGTTGACATGGAAGGCAGGAATATTCTTGTTTTGTGAGGAATTTTTTGAGTAACCCTTTCAAACATCTTATCTTTTTATCTACAGAGATCCAAATCCATGCTTTCAATCAAAAGTTTCTACATCAAAGTCATAAATGGATTGATGTGACTTGGTATTATCAGTATAAACACATCACATAACAAATCAAAAGCCAATCGATAGGAACAGAAACTCTGTACGAAGAGACAAGGGAAAATGCTCTCTGAGCCCAACCTTAAAGTACTAACCATATGTTACAAGTTTTCTGGTTATATAAGGATTTGTACTTGTTAGCTTTGAAAGGGTAGATGGTTTGTAACTGCCCAAGTCCTCAAGTCCACCACTAGTATATTATCATTTTTGTGTTTTTTCTTCTAGACTTGTTCTCAAGGTTTTAAAACGCGTTTGTTAGGGAGAAATTTTCACACCCTTGTAAAAATGCTTCGTTCTTCTTTACAACCAATATGAGATCTCACAATTTACCCCCTTCGAGACCCAACGTCCTTACTGGCACTCGTCACTCTCCAATCGATGTGAGATCTCACAATCGTTCCCCCTTTGAGGCCCAACGTCCTCGTTGACATATCGTTCAGTATCCATCTCCTTCGAGGCTCAACGTCCTTGTTGGAACACCTCTCGATATTATCTGGCGTAGCGGAAACGTGGTGGATCCATAACCCAGAAGTCCCAGGATCGGAACCTGACTCTAATACCAACTCGTAATGACTCTAGTTCCCTTTGGAAATTAGGGCATTACATGGTGTTACTATATGTACTTGAACCATAAACAACAATCCAAATCACCCCTTAATCAAGAGCTATATTCAACGAGCAATCACAAATAAGAAAGAAAAATAATAATTCAAGGTTGATACTCTGTCATACAGATTAATAGTTAAGCGAATTTGACCTTAACAATGGTGTAATACCAGCTAGTGGCGAGGAGCTCTTGAATTCTGAGGTGAGAAAATGAGGGGGATCATGATAAAGTGGCAGTAGAGTAAATAGATAAAAAGGAAGATATTGTACCGCACAAGCAATAAACATACAACCAAGACTGCGGGTATAAATCTTATATCATATAAGGTGTGCAACCCATCTCACTTTCTAATCGTCATCATCAAGAACGCTCCGACGCCTTTGTATCTGAAGAATAATGAGAATATACAAATACCATCAGGACATGAACATACCAAAATTCAGCAGGCGGAAGTAAGCAATGAAAACTCACAGTAACTTTCGTCTGTTTTGTGGTCTGGTTGTTGATCTGTTCTAGCAATGTTATAAGCCTCTCTTCAGAAACCTGAAAAAAAATGGTAAAATCCGTTGCTTCATTCACACTGGTGTTGCCATATTCTCAATTAAATGTAGGTGCAACAATTTTGTCAGAGAAACTAAAATGATATACTACTGAACCTTCTCGACAATTTGGCCCATCTGTGCAGCTCTCAGTATAACATCTTCGACACCTCTCGCCTTCTCAGGTTTAACCAATGCAATTCGAGCAACTGCATAAAAGCACAGGGAAAAAATGAGTATGAATAGGGCAAAACTGCCAGTAACCTAGTTGCAGTAATGACCAACTGGGGCACAATTTGCCCGTTCCATCTCCATGCCAGCTAATAGCAAACCACAGTTTGACAAGACATCTAATTTTCCAAAGTAAGGCTTGAGACAAAACTAGATCTGGTAATATCAACATTTAATCCCACCCCCCCCAGAAAAAAAAAAAAAAAAAAAAAAAAAAAAAAAAAAAAAAAAAAAAAAAAAAAAAAAAAAAAAACGAAAACCTATACCCAATCCAAATCCTTACTTTTAGTTTAGCAATCTTATTTGATAATAATGTTGTACAGCCAAGGGCATCAATGCAAAAACCACAAATCTACTCACAAGCAAAGCTGCAAAAAGTACACTTGACAGGTATTCAACTTCAATTAAGAAACAATAATATACAAAAGAATTGAGAATCGTGAATGGTGGTTTAAAAGAGAGGATCAGTAACCACTTAGAAAAATGACAAGGTTATCTACGACCAGCATAAAAATTCTAATCAAGAGGATGGTCTATAATGAAGAATGTCCGAGTTAGTTCAGCCTCAAAATTGAAAGAATGCAATGAAATTCATCCTTAAACTGAACCGATGAGATTTAAATCCAATTCAGAGAATCTTTTTTCTCTCTTTCTTTCAGGGAGGGGGAGTCAATGTGGGGTTGATGGATGAGGAAAAGAAGTACAATTTGTTAATAGAAGGATACTATCTACAAGCACGCTAAGGTTGAGTAATACAAAGTGTGAGCCTTATTCTAAGGGCGAGGGATCGTTTTCGTCACTCGACCTTTTGAGAGTGTTTTTGTGAGAAACAGTTTTTGCATTATATGTGTAGGTTAAAACCCACTTCCTCCCATTCTCCGAGTCTCTATACCAATGTAGATCTAAATTGAACTAACAAAAAACTTAGCTATGTTCAAAGCTTCAACCCAATCCATACACCGCTTCTCATTCAAAAGAAAAAAAGGGGGTTCTCTCCAGTCATAGTGCTTAATACGATGGCCTTGGTAGCGTGAGACAAGAAAATTTTTGCACTCCTAAAAACCATGGCTAACAAAAGTTTCTCTTTCTCCTAAATAACTAACAGACCCAACTCAAGAAAAAGGTTAGAAAAATAATTTTCCGGCATTTCTAACTTTATTGGCGTAAGAATGAGTACATGGGTGGGTTTCCTGGAACCTTGTTATCATATTGATGCCAACATTGTTATCATATTGATACCATCTTGTGTACTTGTGCAGTAAACAGAATTCCAATCACGGTCAAATCCAGAAACAATAATTGTATTCATGAAGGAGAGCACGAAAGGCTAAGACTGTGCCTCCAAATCCTGCAAGAGGACAAGATGACAGCAAATCTCAACTGTCGTGTTAAAAATGAAGGGAAATAACAGAACTCTTTCGCACTTGCAGACAAAATGAAAGCTGCAAATGTATTGAAATATCAATCCTGACCTCATTTCCACAATTCCCACTAACAGCAGCCTGCAAAGTTGTTGTACCCTACCCTTACTTTCAAGTCCAGTAAATGATTGAACTTGAAGCAGCTTCAAACTTCCAAATCGACACATAGGTTACCATATAAATTCAATATTCAACCACACATTAATAGCATCGCAAACGTAAACTTACATTAATTTCATAGTTAACTTAGGATGTGAGTTAGGTCCAGAGTTTCAAACAAAAATAGCTAGGAAGAAATCCATATTGAGACAGTCAAAGATCGTCACATAGATATAAGAAACTAGCTTACTCCAAAGTTGAAGAATATACTTACGTCTTTCTCTAGCTTGCATTGACAGAATCTGACTGAGCATCATTTGTCTGCGTTCCTCTGCTTCACTGAAAGTGAAAGTAATTGTTATCATATGCACAATAAAGCAGGACTTGAATAATGAAAGTAGCAACTAAAAACTAATGAAAATAAAATTGAGAACCTCTTAGCTTCTTCCTGGGCCTTCTGTTGTTCAGGATTATTTTGGCTTCCCTAATCATCATTAGAAGTCAGCAAAGATGTCCACGATCAAGTAAGCAGTTATTACGTATGTAAACAAAAAAATTACAGCTTACCACGCCACGCTGGGCCATGAGTTCCTGCATTCTTCTCTGCCTGATGGCTTCTAGTTCAGGATCATCCTATATGAGGGTCAATTATTCAATTTAAAACTCAACTTAGATAAGAAAATGGCACGAAAAGAAAAGATAAGAGTTTATCGGATGCCAAATATAATTGAAAGTCAAGGGCACTTGCTACTTTAGATAATATAAGCAGCTAAGCTTGCCGTGCCAAGCTAAGCAATCGAACTTATAAGTTATAAGATTGAAATCACTTGGTAAGGTTCTCGCAACAGATTTTTAATGGTCCTCTATTGTAATCAATAACCTTTTGATTGTTCAAAATAAAAATGATGGGGAAGAAACTAACTAGAATAGAGATTTTTCTCCCTTTAAATGACCATTCTTGACATCCAACAAGTAAAGTTGCCATACATACACGACATATATAACCCTTCTCACCCTTACGCAGTAATGAGACATGACCAAAACATCCTATGTCGCTTCATTTGGCACAAACTGCAGCGTGAACATAAATGTATCAAATCAATTTTTTTCAAATCCAAAAACCACTAACTACACTATGCGTAGCGTACGCATGAGCTTGTCTATAGATATATTCATATATTTCACCTGAAAATGGACTATCAGTTTCTAATCTAATCCTAATCTTGAAGAATTCTTGTACGAGCAGGGGGAAAAGCAAGTAAACCACTTGGATAAAATCCAATCCCCGATTAGGAACAGAAGAAATATTGCTGAAGCAAAACGGAGAGACCCACATTTGGTCAAGCGGGGTTCAAACCAATGAAAAGCAAATATTAGCATAAATAGGGTAAAATCAAGTTGAAGCAACATTCGATTACATCGCAAACTGCAGGGTTTCCACACACTAAACATGAATCGAAAACATGAAGGTGATACAAGCGAAATTACCATTTCTTCGAGGATCGGGCTAGCAGTCAGTAGAACTGAAGTTCAATAATTTCGCATAAGCTGCAGAGCGAAAACGAGGTACGGATTTCCTCGGTTGCGTTTATGTGGCGCGACCTGCCTCAAATTCCAAATATTGTTCCACTTATTTTGGCATCTTGTTTCCATTAAATTAACCAAAATATTGATATTTAATTTACCCAAACTTTTATATTTTATTTCAATAATAACTTTAATTTTTTTTTTAGAAAATAATCTAAAAAATATCCTGAGTTGAAGGAAACATTAAAATATATATATATATATATATATAATTAGTTTAAAAATACTCATAAAATTTTGAGAATTTAAAAATTAAATTCTATATTAACGCATAGAATATAGAATATATGTAAACTTTTAATTTGAGGAATTTGAATCCCTCACTTTAATAATTAGACGTTATTAAAATTATAATCAACTAATTGATATATATTTTATTTTCATAAAATTAAAAGAATGTTACCATATAATTTTAGTCCTATACTAAAAATATTAATACTGGTAAGATTTATTAAAAATTCATTGAAAAAGAAATAGAATAAAAAATGGTATTTTAAGCTAATAATAAATACATAAATAAATTATGGGCGTGGCTATGAATTCCAACTTTTGTGGGTCCTCGGTGCACGTGTTGAGTCGGAAGTTCGGTGCGGTGTGAGGGAACTTCGGATACACTTTGATCTGCAAATCGCAATGACCCTGTTTGTGTTTTCTCACTCTCCGCTGCGCTTGATTTTCAAAACCAAGGTCGTATCACAATTTTCTAATCCGTCCACTGCTGATTTTGTACTAATTTCAGAATTTGCAGGTCCCATTTCCGTCGCTGTTTCACACCATCCGTCGGCCTCATGGACGGTAATTTGTTTCTCGCAATTCAAATGCGTCTCTTGGCTTATCATTTCATGGCATGTTGATGATCTCCAAGTCCAGAGGGAACGACTCTTTGTGAATCGTAATTTTTGTGTCAAAATTTACTGCATGCTAGGTGTTTGTATATATGACTGACTCGCTCATTTGATTGCTTGAATCGAAATTTTTGCGTCAAAATTGTCTTCTCTGTGATCTGCAGTATTTATGTGTCTTCTTTCATCAATAATGAACGGATACTTGCTGTAATGTTTGTATGAATAGCAATACAATATTAAAGTTTCATCTGTACGTGTTTCGTTTTAGATTCAGACAGAGGTAATTTGTGTATGTACAGTTCAATTTCTCGAATTACTGGGATATGTTGGGAGCATATGGGCTTATCATCAACTAGGAAACCACTTTCTGGATTTAGAATGCTTTGTACTGGCGAAGGTGCGTGTAGCATATCTTCCACTGTCGGGGAACCCATTGGATCTCTTCTTATGGTGGCCTCCTCGCGGTCCCATGTCTAAAACACGCTGCTTGTTTTGCCTATACATCGTTGCTTATGTGACATAATTGACCATTTTGTATGTGCCAGATTTGTCCACCAAAAAATGTGTTCCTTGCAACTCAAAGGATTTACGTCCAATGACTGAGGATGCAGCAAAACATTTGATTCGAGAGGTATGCGATATTGTCTCTGTTTGTTAAATCTATCATCTTATGCTTTTCATTTCATTTATTTCATTTTATGATTTTCGTATAGCTGGCTGAGTGGAACCTTATTAATGAAGATGGTAAGCTGAAGTTGAACCGATCACTGAAGGTGAAGAGTTTTCTTAAAGGAATGGACTTGTTTAAACTTATAGCTGAAGTTGCAGAAGCAGAGGGTATCTTGCTTTCCATATACGAAATATATGATGCACTTGTTTCTGTTTTCATCAATCGCCACAATTCATTTCGTTGCAATGTGAATTTTAGTGAACTATAAACCTGAGCTCTATAATTCAATGCAGGCCATCACCCTGATCTTCATCTAGTTGGATGGAACAATGTAACAATTGAGATATGGACACATGCAGTAGGTACGATTTATTGTTTATGTAGCAATAAATAAAATTCTCCTAAACATTAAACATAGACTTAATTGTTTCACTCATAATTTTAATGGCCTGTTTTTGAACGTGAAGAGACCATCTTTCTTAAATTTTATCACTAGTTCCTGTATATTGAAACATTATTCTCATATTGTGAATGGAAAAAGGAGGGAAAACTCCTCAATTGGGACAACATGGTATAATAATGAAGTTTAAATAATTTTCCACATAGCAAAAATGTTTTAATTTCCCTGTAGTAATGTAAGCTTTTAGTGCCAGTCTTCAATGAACAATAGGGTAAGCCTTCAGGTCGTATCTTAGAATCGGGCTCAGAATCAACATTTTTTTCGTTTTCCATTCGATGGTTTCTTCATCTAGCTTGTTTCTGGATTGGTTCCTTGCATAAACAAACTAGTTTCCTGGCTTGTTTACCTCCCGAGTTGTTGAAGTATATTCTTACTTAGAACTGTGCTATTGGCGTTGACGTAATTAGCTTTTGGGCAGGTGGACTGACTGAAAATGACTTCATACTGGCTTCCAAGATCAACAAGCTTGATGTTCATCACCTATTGGGCCGGAAAGCTGCTATTAGCAGTCAACATGACTGTTGAACAGGAACCAAAACATACCAACATTCGGCCAATGTTCTTGTCCATTTTCATGCATGTTGTTCGAAGTCCATATCCAAAGGTTGTCTCTTCGTACTTTAACGCGTTGATTCAGTTCAGTTTTGCAGTTTGGAAGATACTTCTTATCTTTGTTGTTTAATGAAGAATTGTGTGTTTTTTCAAAAATATTTTATTGGTGTGGTACGGCGAGCTTTAACCATGTAGGCGATTTGTTGTTTTGTAGTTAGATTGAAATGATCGGTGGATCTCTGATTTTGTTTTACTTTTGTGAAAGCCTCGGCCGTTAACAGTTATATTGGATTTGTCCGTACTATGCTAGGATTTTTCTTATATAAAAAAGCTGTTTTGCCTTGTCAATGGCCTTTCTTGGACGGCCAACCAAATGCAGAACTGCTTTGAAGCTCTACTCTAAATGCATGCTCAAGAATTTACATCATTTTGTTATATGGGTAGGGTTAGTATCTTAATATAGTTTGCATTTCTCGACTCGAAATGGTTTCGTGCGTGGCGATTATCTTGTCGTGTCCGAGTGCATGCGGTTACAGAATCAGCGGAAGCCCCCCTTGACTCACCCTATAAAAGAAACACACAAGTTATTATTTTTCTATGAGAATAAAATTTGAATGTTCTACAAATTTGTTTATGTTCTATCTTATTTTTGGAACTAAAATTGAAAATATCCTGAGGTTAAATTGAAACTGAAAAAATATGTAAAAATGATAGATTAAAACATAATCCTAAGGTATGTTTCGATTAAATTTTAAATTTGTTTAACAAAACATTAGTTAAATTCAAAAAATATATTTTTCATTGACATAAAGGATACAAATTGAGTAAAAAATGGCGTTAAAATACTTTATATAATCAATTTTTTATACATCGTCCTATCAATTTACACAAATAATATTAAAGTTGCTGTTTGAAGTAATTAGGAAAATAATTAAATTTGTGAGTAACATATTAAATAAAAAATATATTAGTTTATCGACGAATAGGACTTTTTAAAGTGGAAAGAAGAGGAAACTTATAATTTAACCTAAAATTGATTATATTTATTAAAATTGGTTTTTATGTAATTACAGAACAAAAAATGAAGATCCAAATTCAACCAGAAGCGTTTGTCAACAGAGATCCAGTGGACAGGTCTCGGGATTTAAAAGTACGCCTCGTGATCGCAAACCCGAACCCATTTCTGCTTCTCTTCAACTCGCTTGCTGTTCACAGAGAAATATTTGGTTCCTCAACCTGCTCCCTTGCTTCTTCAAACGATGGTAAGTTCTCCCCTTTCACTTTTCCGTATTCGATCCCCCTCAGTGATTGGTAGTTTTGAACTCGTGCTCTCTACAGCTGTTGCGCTAGCTTGATCTTTCGATCTTCAAGTTGTTTATCACCCTGTCGAATTATTTTTTTTCCAATGCCGCAATGCTTGATTTGGATTTTGATGTTAACGCACGTTATTCTTTTGCCTTTTATCCCATAGCAATTGTACGTGTATTGAATACTTTTGAGATTAATATTATAATTGGACGAGTTAGAGCCTCAGATCGGATTGTAAACGATCCTTTTCCAGGTGAAACATGGGAATCGTCCAACTAGTTCATGCACATACATTCATCTAGGCGCTTATATTTGGTTTTGGAGGTGGAATGATCCATTGTTCAGGATGCTGTTAGTAGGAACATTCCCATTTTTTTTTTCTCTCAAGTGACATCTTAGCGTCTGTTTCTATCTCAGTTTACGGGTGTAAACTTTTGAATTTTATATGAGATATTGAATAACAAGTAGATATAATCGCAAAAGTTGTTCTGCAATCAATTAAAGGAAAAGTTATTTGTTAGCTTTGATTTGCATAATGTGTCAAATCTAACCTGGATGTTTTGACTTCATCAAAGGAGGAGAAACTGGAATCAATACCTTCCTTTGTTTGATTTTTTTTTTTTTTTTTTCTCTTTTGTGTGCTTGATTTTTGTAGTTCACTTGGTGTTGGATGTTTGTTTCGTTGGATTTGGACACTTAGATGTTCAATAGTGTGTCTCTCGCTGTTCAGTTTTGCGACTGGGATTGAGTATTCATGTTGCTGAGTCTGGCAATTTGTGTGAAAATTTATTGGTGACTTTTTTCATTATTTTTATGTTGAAAAATATGTTAATTTCTTTATTTATTTAAGTTCAAATTCGAGTTCAAATTGATAAAATTGAATCATAGAAGTCCAATGGTGATGAACTCCTTTATTAGTCAAGAGCTAAATAGTAGCTTGTTTAGTTGAAAATGTCCTTTTTCTCTCTATTTAGGATTATGAATGATTGAATGACGTACGTTTTTTTAGTCACAAATTTAATAAATCGCATTTGATAATCTGATTTCGTTCCTTGGCTTGGGTTGTGGATCTTGATGCACGATTTGAATTCTTATTTTAGAGTGGTATCTCACTGTTGCTGGAGCAGCCCAGGCCACTTATTACAAAGCCATAATAATTGCATGTTTCCTCGTTGATATCATCCG